TGGTGGTGGCGGCATAGTGGGCCCTGTGGCAAGCCCCAGGGGGATTTCTCGGGGCGGGTCCTGCGCACCTATGAGGTGCAGGACAATTACAGACTCCTTATGTCTTGAGTGCCCCCTGGAGCTCCATTCTTGGCATGGGTCTTCACACAGTAGGAGCCAAGTAGGAACAAGGCTCTGGGTAGCTGGTCCAGGCAGGGCTCAGAGTTCACGCTTGGGGAGCCAGGGTGAACGCTGGCTCGTGGCCCCTTGCCCTCCAGCTGGGCGCCACAGCTGCAGCTGCCGGGACAGCCTGTGATGAGGTGGTCCTTCTGTCGCGGCCACAGGTTCGATTCCTGGGCAGGCATGGCCCTGGCCCGGGCCAGCCGCATCCAGGACAAGCTCAACTCCAACGAGCTGAAGAGCGACGGGCCCATCTGGAGGCACGCCACCCCCGTGCTGAACTGCTTCCGACGGGCCCTGGAGATCGACAGCTCCAACCTGTCTCTGTGGATCGAGTACGGCACCATGTCCTACACCCTGCACTCATTCGCCGCACGCCAGCTGAAGCAGTGGAGGACTGAGCTCCCCCCTGAGGTCGTGCAGCAGGTGAGGGGGCGGACGGTGGGGCTCATCCTCACGGCTGCGTGAGGCGGTGACGATTCGCCCCTCAAGGGGCAGGCTCCTCAAGGAGGCCCCAGGGGGCTTGGTGGCAGCTCGGTGACAGTGCGATGGACACTTCAGGCCTCGGCTCTGCTTACCCGTCAAGGGGCTGAGCTGGTGCTGCCATGGCGGAGGCCACCTCTTCCTGTCCCTCCAGGGGCAGGCTCGGTCTGCTAGTCCTCGGCCGTGCCCTGGGGCCTGGCAGCCTCCCTGGGTGTTGGTGGGGAGCGCTCTGCTGCGGGTACTGGGTGTCCAGCTTGGGTTGTGCTAAGCAGGGAGCTTGGAGGAGCCATATCAGCACGTCCACGTTTGTGGCAGTGAGAGCCGTGGTCAGAGCGGCCTCCAGGGAAGCCAGAGGGCCTGGTGGCCACAGACAGCGTGTCTGTGCACAGGAACCAGACAGGATGGTTGCAGTGCTGACACTTGCTGTTGACAACAACAGCTTGTTGGCAGCACTGAATGGGGCAACACCCGAAATCAGCACTTGGCAGTCAGGGTGCTGCTCTGCCCACCCCACCAGCATGTGTCCTTGAGGGCGGCCTCTGAGGGGGTACCATACCCCCACCCGCCTTGTGCACTCTGCCTCCCCAGCCCCCCAGGAGTCCCCTGGTGTCCATGTCCCTAGGCCTTCTGCCCGTGGTCTCTGTCATGGATCCCAGCTGCCCTACCTCTTGGTCTCCATCTCCCCCAGCCCCCTGATTTCCATGTTCCCGTCCCCCATCCTCTAGTCTCCTTCATGGATCCTGGCCCCCGCCCCCCAGTCTCCGTGTCCCCCAGCCCCCTGGTCTCCATGTCCCCTGGCACCCCACCCCCTGGTCTCCATCTTCCCAGCACCCTGCCCCGTGGTCTACGTCTCCCCTGGCAACCCACCCCGTGATCTCCATCTCCATCTCCCCAGCACCACACCCCCTGGTCTCCATGTCCCCTGGTCCCTGCCCCCTGGTCTCTATGTCCCCTGGCCCCCTGCCCCCTGGTCTCCCTTCCCTGGCCCCCCGCCCCCTGGTCCCCGTGTCCCCTGGCCCCCAAACCCCTGGTCTCCGTGTCCCCTGGTCCCCGCCCCCTGGTCTCCATCTCCCTCACACCCGGGTCTCTGTGTCCCCAGGCCCCCTGCCCCCTGGTCTCCGTCATGGACCCAGACCCCTGCACCGGGGGAGCTGGGGAAGGACGGTCATAGGGCAGCTCCGATGTGAACATCCTTGTGCTGTGGTGACGGCTGTTGCTGCCGCACCTCCTCCCCGTAGCCGTGGGCCTCCCGATCTGTCACTTGACACCTGTGACCTGCTGCTCTGTGTGCAGACAGGGCAGATCAGAGGCCCAGCCCTGGTCCCACCTGGCTCTTCCTCAGTGCTTGTCCACCGGCCCCACCCTCCCTCTGTACGCCCTGGCATCACCCCGAGCCCGGGGCTCCCCAGGCCCCAGCTCGCTCTCTGTGTCCAGAGTGCACAGGCGTGGCCGTCCAGCTGGGCCACAGCTCCGCCCTCACTGCCTCGGGCCTGGGCAGCGTGTGAGGCCAGGTCTTCCGGTGAGACGGAGCACGCGGGCGCAGCCCTGCCCCGGCAGCCTAGGGCCACGGTGGAGGGCGGGGCGGCGGCCCTCGGTGGCCCTGTTCACGAGCTGGTGTTGGAGCTGCCGTGGGGCTGTGCCCCGGCAGAGCTGGGGAGTGGAGTCTGTCCGTCACCGCAGGACTCGTTTACTCTCATGTTCTGCCAGGGACAGCATCCTCTGTGAGGCAGAAGCCTCCCCAGGCTGCTCCCAGCGCAGTCCCCCCCTGCCTCAGGGACTGCCTGGCAGGCTGTGTCCAGACGTCTCCAGCAGACACCAAGGCTGTAGCTTTCTCTCCTGACCTGAATCCCATCACACCAGACATGGCACTTGGCTCCCTTTCTGTCCAGCCTCACGTAGCTGGGCTCAGCCCGTGCTGGTTCCCGTGGCCCTGGAACATTGCCTCCTGCTCAGACGTGCTTGACTGTCTCATGCAGAAGCGCCAGGCTGCATTCTGTCTCTGTCGCCACGGCCCTAGGAGTCTGGTAGCCAAAGCCACTACCGTGCAGTGCAGAGCCCACCTCCCTGGGTGGTGGCCCTGTAATGCAGACACTTTGGTTCTTGGGGTCTTTGCCATAGCCTCCTGCCCCAGTGCCAGATAGGTGTTCACAGAGCGAGAGCTTGGGGCAATGGGACGGGGACCTGTGCTTCCTGCCTGGGGAACTTACTTGTGTGAGCTTACTTGCTGCTTCCCCCCACGTGCTAGAGTGGGGCTCCCACCCCTGGCCAACCCATTCTGTCCCCTGCTTCCTCTGTACACGGCTTCTCGGGCTGGCCTCAGGGTTGATCTCCCAGGAGCCACTGCCCGGGCCCCTCCCAGTGTCAGGTACGGCAGGCCCGCGGGTCTCCTGGCAGACAGAGAGGCTGTTCCGGGCCTCCGGCCCTGCAGTGCATGGTGGGGACCTGGCCGCCTGGCTGTGGGCGCCGTCCTGGGTTTATCATCTGATAGGGCAGGCGACCCGACGCGCACATTGAGCTTTATGGCTGCAGACAGGCTGCGGGGCGCTGATCGGGACAGGCATGCGGGGTAGTGGTGTTGGCTCTCAGGCACCGAGAGTCTTCTGCAGGCCAGGTGGCAGCTGGGACGGGAGCTGCTGGTCCTGTCGCAAGGCATCGCTGGGGCGGTTTGGCAGGAACGCCTGGTCCCCCTCATGGCCGGTGCTGACCAGTGCCCCGACTTGAGGCTCATGTGGAAGAGACCGCTGGTCGGGGTGCATGCCCCACCAAGGATATGTGGCAGGAGGGGCCTAGCAGATTCAAGCCTATTTGCTGTGACTTTGCCTTTCTGTCCTCATGAGCCAGGCGGCCAAGGTACAGAGCCCCGGGCCTGCAGTGCATGTGTGTGCTCCAGGGGCCGGGCGCTCGGCCTGCCGCTGCGTGTCATCGTGGCGCCCAGTCTGGGCAGCGACTCTCCACAGCCTCTTCTCTTGGTGGGACCACTGCATAGCTGGTCGGGGGCCGCCCAGCGCTCACACACTCCAAGCGGGACACCAGCCCAGCAGCGGCTCGAGTCCTCCTGGAGGGATGTAAAGGAATCACTGCGTTGGTGCAGCCTTTGTCCTGCCCTGTGTAGCGGGCTCCTGGCTCCTGTGGCCGTTGCCTCCCAGGAAGGCCTGGCAGAGCACAGGCCCCCTGTGTCAGCCCCAGGCTCTTGGAGCTGGGTACTGTGGGGAATGAGCCTCCCTGAGCCTGTGCCTGCAGGGCAGCCAGGTGGGAGGGCTGGGCCGTGTCCTGCAGGCGTCCGGCTGCTTCACTGCACCCAGTCCCGTCTGCCACCAAGCCTGGCGCATGAAGGGGGCTCTGGAGCCTTGGGGTGCTCGCAGCTGCCGCTCTGTGGGCCCACGAGCGCTGTCCTCCCTCAGCTCCCAGCCCTGGGCTCTGACATGAAGGGGCGCCTGGGGACGGGTAGTGGGTGTTCCTGCCTAGAGTGGGGGGCCCAGGGAGAGCGCTCGCAGAGCAATGGGTGCTCACAGAGGGATGCCTGCAGAAGGACTGGCCTGAGCTGGAAGGCCCTGGCTGTTGGCCTTCAAGCTGACGGTTCCATCCTCTTGCGTGCGTGGCAGGCCCCGGAGGCCATGGCTGCCAGCAGACTGAGTCAGTGCGGCTGGGCTGAGGCCCAGGAGTTCACTGTGACTAGCACCTGAGGACAGGAAGAGGCCCTCTTGTACCCTGGGGTGCATGCCCTCACAGCCGGTGTTGTGGATCAGCGTGAGGCCTTCCGAGCCTGGCTCCATAGGCTGAGAGAGGGAGCTGCCTTCTTGGAGGTCCGTCCCTGAACCTCAGCTCAGCATCTCCTTTCAGTGATGGGCAGTGTCCCGGCTGTGAGGGCCCCGCCCCCGGTGTCCTGGCTCTCGGGAAACCCCCACTCCCTGGTGTTCAGCTCTGAGGGGCCCGTCCTCCCCGGTGTCCAGCCGTGAGATAGTGGTTGCAGCTGTGAGTCCTAGATCAGTGAGAGGACACAGTATCTCAGAGCCGTCCCAGGGCTCGTCAGGGAGCGTGCGCGGTCTCGTTGCAGATGGAGGGGCGCCGTGACAGCATGCTGGAGACGGCGCGGCACTGCTTCACGTCGGCGGCCCGCTGCGAGGGTGATGGTGACGAGGAGGAGTGGCTGGTCCACTACATGCTGGGCAAGGTGGCTGAGAAGCAGCAGCAGCCGCCGGCCGTCTACCTGCTGCACTACCGGCAGGCCGGCCACCACCTGCACGAGGAGGCCGCCCGCTACCCCAAGAAGATTCACTACCACAACCCCCCCGAGCTGGCCATGGAGGCCCTGGAGGTGAGGTGCACGCTGGGCGGGCACACGCCCCCTTCCTGTGCTCGGCAGCCCGGCGCCGTGACCGGCAGGCAGCCCGTCAGAGGGCAGCCTGCGCCATCTCTGGGAAATGGGCCTTTTGTTCTCCCTGAGAAGCACGTCTGTCTGCGGGCACCTGCGGGTTCTTAGTGGCAGGAGACACACAGGGCCTCCTCACAGGGCAGGATGAGGGCAGGGCTGCCCAGGTTCACCTGAGACAGCCGAGGCCCAGCAAGGCCATGGTGGGCCAGGGCACCTGTGCTGTTGGGGCTGAGGGGGACGGCAGCTCCCTCCCTGACATGAGAGTCTTCCCGCACAGCTCACAAGAAGGGCAGGTCTACGCTCCCTGGGTTTCCTGTGGCTTCCAGAACGTCCCACCACTACAGCTCCCCTCACACCCACAGCAGGCCCGTGGCAGGCTGGCAGCCGGGTAAGGCCTGCTGACTCAGTAGGTGAGGCTGGGCCTCAGGACATGGGCGCCTCCCAGGCCCTGAGCTCCCCAGCGTCACCCTCCTGAAGACACGTGTCCTGCTGGAGGCTCCTGGGACGTCGGGGCAGAATCCACTGCCTGCTCGTTCGTTCTCTCTGTACCCTTATGAAATTTTTGTTTTTCTAGTTGTTGGGTTAATGCTGATTTGTGGTTAGAAAGGACAGAGCCGGAAAAATTAAACATGTCCGTAGAGAATTAAGGGTGCTTCCGCCCCACTGTGGCACAGGCACACCCCGTTTCCCATACACGCTCTGCAGAGGCTGGGTCTCACTCAACCTGGCAGGGTGGTGGCCACCTGTGTCTGCAAGTCTGTCAGGGTCATTCTCCCAACAGCCTGGGCTTATTTCCTGTCTCTGTGTCCCTGGTTGGTCACTCTTGCATCATCACGGGCTTTCTTATCATGCTGGTGCATACTCCTAGACTGTAATGGGGCAGCCACATGACGTTCACGAGCACCGGGAAACCAAAATACGTGTGGTGCACCTTACCGCGGGGCTCTGGAGCCAACCCCACAGTGTCCCTGAGTGCCGGAGCTGACCCTGTAGTGTCCCTGAGTTCCGACTGTGGTCCCTGTCACCGCTCGGGGGTGCGTCCTCCCCTTTCCAGACTCTTCCCTGTGCCTGCGTAAGTGCACAGGCATGTCTTCTTACCTCTGCAACCTGCCTTTCTCATTGGACGAGTTGAATGATGCTGTGTGGACCCCTTCCCTGTCCCGCGTCCTGTCATTGGCAGCTTCCCAGAGCAGCCCTTTCTCCGTGGGCACGACCCCCCTCTCCACATTTTGCCACAACACAGGCAGGCTGTGCGAGTCCTGGTGCGTGTATCAGTCAGCACCTCCAGAGTGTGTCCAGGACTGAAGTCCAACACGAGTCTAACAGCTCACTGAGCATTCTGGCCGGCACAGTCCCCCCACCGCCAGTGGTGGTGCCTGTGGGCCCTGCTGCCCCTCTGTGCTCATCCTGAGTCGTTACTATTGGCTAACGCCATGAGCAAGGAGCTGCAGGGGCACGGTGGTTACGGCATTTGGCTGCCAACCAAAAGACTGGTGGTCTGAACCCACCAGCTGCTCTGTGAGAAAAAGATGAAGCAGTCTGCTTCTGCGACAGTTGACAGCCTTGAAGACCCTGTGGACGCAATTCCACTCTGTCCTCTAGGGGCGCTGTGAGTCAGTATCAACTCCACTGCAGTGGGTGTGGTTTGGGCTTTGCTTCGGTAAAGACTGACAGCCTTGGAGACCCTGTGGGCAGTTCCACTCTGTCCTCTAGGGGCGCTGTGGGTCAGAATCAACTCCATGGCAGTGGGTATGGTTTGGGCTTTGCTTCTGTGAAGACTGACAGCCTTGGAGACCCTGTGGGCAGTTCCACTCTGTCCTCTAGGGGCGCTGTGGGTCAGAATCGACTCCATGGCAGGGGGTTAGTGCAGTGACCAAATAAACAAAAAAGCCTCATTTTTTTTTTCTGTAAATTTTTGTTGCTGTTGTGATTTGGATGAAAGTTTACACTGCAAATTCATTTGCCACACAGCAACTCATAACACACTTTGTTTCATGACATTGACTGTAATTCCCAACAGTGTAACAGCTCTCTTCCCACTTTCTCCGTATAGTTATCTCTTCCCTGGGTTGTTCTTCTCTATGCATTCTTGTCCCTTGAGTCGTCTTCCTCTGCAAACACTGCCTTTCTGTTCTCCCATGATTGATCGCTCCATGGAGTGTATCTACCTGATGTAAATGTTCACCCCATATGCCTGTCTATTGTTTGGCTGGAGGCTGAGTGAGTTTAGTTCCAGACCTGAAGGGTAACTGGGGACCATACTCTAGGGGGTCTCACCAGGCTTTTCATACCAGTAAGCATGATGGTTTTTATGGTTCTGAGTTTTCATACCAGTAAGCATGATGGTTTTTATGGTTCTGAGTTTTCATACCAGTAAACATGATGGTTTTTATGGTTCTGAGTTTTGTTCCACATTGTTCACCTCCTCTATCCAGGATCTCCTACCTAGTCCCTCTCAAAGCGAATGACAGTGGTAGTCAGGCACCATCTAGTTATATATAGGCTCACGTGGTCTGCCAGTCCCTCAGACTGGTCGTTTCCGTATAACACCTCGTTTTTAAGACAGGCCTTTTTAAGGTAGTCTGTGCTGAATGGCTTCCTGAGGCTGTTTCAGGCCCGCATGCTCAGGGTGCATCTTGAAGTGTGGGCGCACCGCCTCCCCGTAGAGCCTTCACCGCGCCTTCCTTGTCTCTGTCACTCCCAGCCCCAGGTCTCTCACACTTCCCGTGAGGGGACTGTGCCTGTCCTTGGAGGCATTTCCACAGTGGAGCTGGGGGAACCAAGACCCAGGGCTGTGGCGTGACCCGCAGGCTGGGGCCTGAGCCTGCCCTCCCAGCCCGCGGAGCCCACACTGTGCTTCTGGGCCTCCTTGGTGGCGGGAGCGCCCCAGCCTCGGGGAAAACGTGGCAGCGCGGTCTCCTCGGTGACTTTTCCTCCATGTTTGTCCCCTGCTATTCCTGGTGGGTTCAGTGAACAGGCAGGATAGTGGCCTTGGGGCCCAGGGGCTTTGGGCTGTGAAGCCTGGGCTGCAGAGATGGGGGCTGCGCGGCCGGCACCCTGCCACACTGCGCGGCTCTCACCAGAGCAGGCGTGCAGAGCAGAGTTCTGGGCGGTCCCCATCCCGTGCCGGTGTGCTCAGGCCGCTGTCTGGGAGCACGGGGCGCTGGCTGTCTGTCGGACATGTGTCTCGCTTTAACAGCAGTGTGCCCCAAATAGACAATTAGAGGGAAGATTCCGCCCTGCCATTGGGCTTTCCTTCAGAGTGCCTGACCTCCCACTTGGGGGAACTTGGCCCTCCCTGAGCTTGCCCGAGGCTCTCCTGCATCCAGAGGGGAGTTGCTGGGCCTGTGTTGCTGGGGTCTGCAGGTGGGCTGGAGGGGCTGTCACTTAAATGCAGGCGTGGTCCTCTGTCCATGATGCTCTTGTCAAGAGCGCTGCCCTGGGCCTGGGCCACCAAGCTGCTCACTGGGCTGGCCCCTTTGCACCTTCTCTAAAGAGCTCCTCTGGAGGAAGGGTGGCCCCCACAGCCCCAGTGTGTATAGGGCGTGTGCACCACCCCATGCTTAGGCGAGAAGGCAGGCCCCATGCTGTGGTGGTGTGTGAGTGGGGGACTGGCCATCTCAGGCCCCGGGCTCTGAGTGGTACGGCTTGTCTGAGGGGCAGGATGCAGGCTGGCCTTGGCTAGCCCTGACCCTGACCCTGGGCTGCCTTGAGCAGTTCACCCCTTTGTGAACTGAGGTGCACAGTGAGGGCTTGTGGGAGTGAAGTGGGCTCGTTGCCCAGCTGCTCACCACCCCTTGAGCCCACGTGTACAGGCATCTGGGGGCCTGGAGTGCTCAATCAAAATGGGTCGAGCTGTGCCATCTCGGGATTCCCCATTTACTGGGGCTGCAGGCAGGGTATGCACAGAAGCTGTGTACCCCCAGGGCTGCTCACCCCTGTGACCACGCATTTCCATGACTGTGCATACCCGTGGCTGCACACCCCTGCTGTGGCCACGCCCATCTGCTGTGGCCGAGCACCCCCATGGTCGTGTACACCTTGCGTGGCCACGCATCCCCATGGCTATGCACACCTTCCGTGGCCACGGATCCCCGTGGCCGAGCTCCCCCGTGGCCATGCACACCTTCCGTGGCCACATATCCCCGTGGCCGTTTGGTAGTGCTGTGCTTGCAGCTGAGGGTGCCTTCTCTCTCCCTGTCTCCCCCGCATGTGGCCGGGTCACTGGGCCACTGGGTCAGTGGGAATTGTCACTGTCCGTTTTAGTCTTCAGAGGCACTTTTCAGTCGCTTGTGGGTGGCAGGTCTGGCGCTAACCACCAGTGGCACGGGGCCGCATCTCTCCCTCGGCCGTGGTTGGCCGCTGCCTGGGGGATGAGCCGCAGCCCGCATGTACTAGCTGGTGCCCCGCTGTGTGTCCCAGGTGTACTTCCGACTTCACGCATCCATCCTGAAGCTCCTGGGGAAGCCTGACTCCGGAGTCGGCGCCGAGGTGCTCCTCAGCTTCATGAAGGAGGCCGCAGAGGGGCCCTTCGCCAGAGGCGAGGAGAAGAATACCCCCAAGGCTCCAGAAAAGTGAGTGGCATATGTGGTTGACAGCTCGCTATCCTGGGCTGGCGCTCACAGGTGCTAGTGAATAGAGGCCCTGGTCTCAGGTTCATCTGGAACACTTGACACCTGGGCACGGCTGCTGGGCCTGCCGTGGCCGGGAGGTTCCGACCACCCTGTCTGTTCTGCAGGGAGAGGGCCTTCTGTGGCCGGGAAGTTCTGACCAGCCCCTCTGTCCCCCAGGGAGAAGGCCTGCCGTGGCCAGGAGGTTCCGACCAGCCCATCTGTCTTCCATGGGGAGGAGGGCCTGCTGTGGCCGGGAGGTTCTGACCGCCCCCTCTGTCCCCCAGGGGGACGGCCTGTCATGGCCGGGAGGTTCTGACTGCCCCCTCTGTCCCCCAGCGGGTCGGCCTGCTGTGGCCAGGAGGTTCTGACCACCCCATCTGTCCCCCAGGGGGACGGCCTGCTGTGTGTGGCCGGGAGGTTCTGACCACCCCGTCTGTCCTGCAGGGAGAAGGCCTGCCGTGGCCGGGAGGTCCCCTGTTATGGCCGGGAGGTTCTGACCACCCCGTCTGTCCTGCAGGGAGAAGGCCTGCCTGGTGGATGAGGACTCCCGCTCTTCGGCTGGGCCGCTGCCAGGCCCCGGAGCCCCTGTCCCCTGCTCTGGCCCAGGTCTGACATCCCCACCTTACACAGCCACTCCGCTTGACCACGATTACGTCAAATGTAAAAAACCCCAGCAGCAGGCGACGTTGGACGGTACAGTCTCTGTCCCCCCCGCCAGCCAGGCGGCACGCCAGCCCTGGGGACGGGAGGGCTGCGGGCGAGCAGGCGCGTGCTTGGGCGGGCAGGGCGGGGTCCGAGCAGCACGGGCAATGCCACAGCTCTCATTCACCTCATGACGCCTGTCCTCCCGAGACATGCACGTGCCACCTGCCTCATCCACCTGGCTGCGGGGAGGTGGGCGGCTGGGTCCCCTCGCTCGGAGCTTGCCCTTCCTGCTCGGAGACTCCATGGGGCAGCTGCCAGCATCTGGCTGTCAGCTAGGGGTGGCAAGGCTGTGACGCTGTGGTCTGTAATGGCACCATCCTTCTGACGGTCACAGGAGGGCGTGACCCTGGGTCAGCTGGGGCTTCACACAAGGCCTCCCACGTGGGAGGGGCAGGTGGCACCCCCTACTCACCCCCGCTGACATCAGGGGGTCTGCATGCTGGCCTCTTGCTCCATCTCCTCCTCACCCCTGCTCTGGGGACAGTGCCTCCTGGGGGCTGTGCTGGGGGCGTTGGGGGGCCAGCAGAGCAGAGCCCTGGCAGGCAGTGGAGGCACTGGGCCTCGCCCTTGTCGACCCTCCATCTCCTCAGGTCTGGGGACCGGGTTCTGCTCCCTACAGCGACCCCAGAGCCGGGCCTTCCCGGGTGGTAACTGTCGATGCTTCTGGTGGGGGGATATGCCTGGGGCACCGGACAAGATGGCGAGGGCCTAGCCTGCTGGGAGGGAGCACTCAGGCTCCAGCTGTCCGTGGAGGCCCACCCAGAGCGTTGTCCCGGAGAGCCAGCTTGCTATGTCCTGAGACAGGTGTGGGTTTGGGAGAGGCTCAGATAGGGGCTGGGGAAAGGCACAGATGGGGTACAGCACTCGGTTTCTCTGGGGAAGGACTCAAGGGACTGGACCTGATCCCTTCATGAAAGCAGTGGACATCTCAGCTCTGATCCGGGTGTGGCTCTGTTCATGGGTGTGGGTGTGAGAGGCGGGGTCCGTGTGTGTGTGTGTATGTGTGTGTGTGCACGCGCACATGCATGCACACACACTCCCCGGGGTGTGGCTCTGCTCATGGTTGTGGGTGTGAGAGGCTGGACCTGTGTGTGTGTGCTTCCTGGGTACAGCTCTGTTCATGGGTGTGGGTGTGAGAGGAGGGGTCCCTGTGTGTGTATGCTGCCCAGGGTGCGGCTCTCATCATGGATGTGGGTGTGAGAGGCTTGGTCCGTGTGTGTGTGTGCACATATGCACACTCCTTGGGGTGTGGCTCTGCTCGTGGGTGTGGGTGTGGGAGGCCAGGTCCATGTGTGTGTGCATGTGTGCACACTCCCTGGGGTGCAGCTCTTGCTCGTGGGTGTGGGTGTGAGAGGCTGGGTCTGTGTATGTGTGTTCCCCAGGGTGCAGCTCTGCTCATGGGTGTGGGTGTGAGAGGCTAGGTCCCTGTGTGTGTGTGCTGCCTGGGGTGTGGCTCTGGTCGTGGGTGTGGGTGTGAGAGGCCAGGTCCCTGTGTGTGTCCTCCCCGGGGTGCAGCTCTGCTTGTGGGTGTGGGTGTGAGAGGCTGGGTCCATGTGTGTGTGATGCCTGGGGTGTGGCTCTCTGTTCATGGGTGTGGGTGTGAGAGGCCGGGTCTGTGTGTGGGTGTGGGTGTGAGAGGCTGGGTTTGCGTGTGCTGCCTGGCCACCCTCCCTGAATACACACCCCTGCCTGTCCCATCACCCCGTCCGTCACTGTGGTCCCAGGGGTGGATCCCTTGCTCCTCTGCACTCACGCCCACTGACATTCTCGACGCAGGTCCATGTCCCTCCCTCTCAGGTAGTTCAGTGGACAGAGAAACACAACCCAGCCAGGCCAGTCTTCCCGGGAGGGGCTGAAACAGCGTCAGAATTACCTGCTCAGGAGCTTGTCCCGTGAGATCTAACAGACACTGACGCTGCAGGAGACGGGGGTGTTCAGTGGTCCCCATGCTGTGTGCCCCTGCTCACTGCGCACACCTGGGCCGGGGGCACCAGCACCCTTCACACACACACACACTCACATACTCACACCCTATGTGCCCCTGCTCACTGCACACACCTGGGCCGAGGGCACCAGCACCCCTCACACACACTCACATACTCACACCCTATGTGCCCCTGTTCACTGTGCACACCTGAGCCGGGGGCACTAGCACCCCTCACACACACACTCACACCCAGTGTGCCCCGCTCACTGCTTGCTGGGCCCACAGCACCCCTCACACATATAGCCTTGCAGGTTTGGATGAGGCCCAGGGAGCTGTGCTCTCTCTGCTCATGGAGATAGTGATACCTCAATGTGGGTGCCCTCCTGGCACGGGACGGGGGCCGGCCCAGGGTCCCTGTACTGATGTCCACATGTGGCGGGGGATGCTGCTCCTGAGCCCTGGGTGGCACTGTGTGACAGGATGCTTCCTGCCCCTGTGGGTCTCTAGGGCACCAGGCGTGGGTCCCGAGGTTGCTCAGTGTGACATGTCAAACACAGTTAAAGAGAGTTTGCCACATGGACCCTTCCAGTGACGTAGCCACCAGGAGACCCTACCGCCACCTCCACCTGGCCCCAGCTCCACTCAGGCTGGCCACGGGCACTGTCTTGGCCTACACCTCCTGACCCTTGAGACAGGGTGTCCATGCGGTATGGGCTTCAGCCAGGTGAGCACTGACCCCCTCTCCTGTCACAGGCTGCAGCCAGGTGACCCTCTCTCCTGAGGCAGCTTGCAGCTGTACGTTTGAACAGAGGCACTGTTCTGTCATGTGTAGAGTCGCTGGTGGCCTTGGGTGGAGGACACTTGGCCCCTTGGCCTCAGGGACTAGCCTCATGTCTCCTGTGGCAGGAGGACGGGGGTCAGTGCTTACTCTGTAATAGGACAGATTAGAATCTCGGAACTCAGCCTACAGCAGCCCCGCCGTGCCCTGTACCAGGGGCAGAGAGGGCCACCCAGCTGCGTCCTGTGACAGGAGGACGCGGTCAGTGCTCAGCTGGCGCAGGGCTCGGCTGACAGTGCCCAAAGGATGTGGAACCGGCTCCCTGTTGAGAGGAGCCCTGTGCCACCGAGGGTACACGAGCCCATAGCCAGCTCTGGGGAGGGGGACCAGCATGCAGCCCTCAGGAGTCAGGCCCAGAGAGGCCGTGCCCAGACCCGCCCGGCACCCCTTCCAGAGCAAAGCCTCCGGTCTTCTGGCTGCTGGCGGACCTTTCCCTCGGCCTGCTCTGCCTGGTCCTGCACCAACGACTTAGGGAGGGACCCCTTCTAGGAGCATGTTAGGGTGCATCAGCGCCCCGCTTAATGTTCACGTCCATCCACTGATGGGCACCGAGTTGCCTGCCCAGCGTTGCTGAGCAAAGCAAGGACGGCACTCAGCAGGAACCCCAAGCCTCAGCTGCAGGGCTGGTGCTGTAGGTGGTCTGAGAGTGGTCCTGGGCGCTGCAGCACTGGTGCCCCGTCCCCGCCTCTGCATACCCTCGCTCACGTGCTGAGGCCCGTTGGCGTCGCCGACTCCTGTTTGGTGCAGGATTGGGGGATGCGCGAGTATTCCCAGTCACATTGGGGTGACTTGTTTAGTAGCAGCCTCGTGGAACCCAGAGGCCCTCTGTGCCACCCATGCTGGGCTCAGAAACGCCCCCACCCCCAGCCGGTCAGAAGCCCTGAGGCCTCGAGTTCTCCGACACCCCTCAGCTCATTCACAGCCAGTGCCTGTCTGGCAGCAGGAGGGGCAGCTCTGGGGAACCGACCAAGACCTCAGTCACGTACGGTGTGTGCGCATGTGTGAGCGTGTGCCTGCTCTGGGCTGGACTCAGGTGCATCACTGTCTCCACAGCCCCTGGCAGCCTCGGCAGTGGGGTCCTTGTACATGAGAACAGGACGCCAGGGTCCATGGTGCTCAGCTAGGACCACCAGCCTGTTGCCTTGGAGCCTAGAGCTGCTGTGTCCCCTTCCCCCAAGTGGGGCGATGCCCACACACCTGCAGAACGGGTGGACCCACAGCTCCGAGGCCTTAGGGGTGTGTCCAGGGCAGCTCTGGGGAACTGACCAAGACCTTTGTGGTCTGAGCGTCGTGCTCCCTGTTGGCTCAGCGGGCCGGAGCCAGAGAGGCGACCAGGGCAGGCCTTCCTGCGTGATCATTCTGGGTCTGAGCCCTTCCAGGTGTTGATCAGTCCAGGACCAGTACACGAGACAGCACTGGGCCCTGCTGCAGTCCCCTGCAGGGCGGCTGCAGCCAGTTGTGCCAGATCAGAGACCTCCTGCTGGGGTGGGAGGCCTTCTAAGAGACAGAGCTTGGGCGAGCCCTGCAGGTGTTACAGGGCACCAGCGAGGCTGGGGGAGCAGGCTGGCTTCTGGGGCCCATCTACAGCAGGACCGAGAGCACTTGGGCCTTGTGGGAACGCGTCATCCTCCCCTGCCTGCCATCATGCCGTCATTGTCACTGTCACTGTGCTGTGTCTGTCTGTGCTCATGCCCACCCGCCCTCACCCCTCCACCAGTATTGCCCGTGCTGTCCCTGATCCCGACCCACTCTGTCCTCCTCCAGGCTGTCTCTTCCTGCTTTCACCTGTCACGGCTCGCTCCGGGACAACCCAGGCACACGCTTGGCCCGCAGCCCGGCTCCCTGTCACCGGGACGGGGTCCCGTAGAGGCCGCTGCCTGGGGTTTGCAGCGTATGTGCTGTGCTTGCCTCCTGCCGCTGCCTGTCCTCCTGGTTCTGACCAAGCGCTGCAGCGGGCGCCCGTGCCCTGTCGCCAGTCAGGCATCCTGGTCCTTTGTCTCCATGGCTTTGCTCGTTCTTGTGTGCACATGCACATACATGCACACACACAGCCCAGCACAGGCCCTGACAGCAGGTTCTCTTTGCATGGACAGATGTTGTGGGAGAACACAGAGTGGCTGAGCCGGTCTGTGGTTGACAGGATCCAGACTGTCAGGGCACTGCCCAGTGGTCCCCACTGCCTGCCTCCCTTCCTGGGGAGCAGGGGAGAGCCCACTCAGAAAG